CAAAGGGTGCCCCATCATTCTTCAGTGATGCACACATTTTTGCACAGATAGTATACACGCTTCCGCAGTCAACCATGCTAATCTCATCAATGAACATGTACTCCACATTCTGCAGGCGAGCGTGCACTTGGAGCAGGGTAGCCACAGAGTCTGAGGATGCATTTTGTCTGAGTCCTAGCATGGAATGGTATGTAGATCCTCCAATAAGCACTGCAGCAGATCCAGTGGGGGCCATGCACATAAACCGGTAGCTTTCCTGGCGAGCAGCAAAGAAGTGTGTCAAAGCTTTGATGACCTGTGACTTTCCTGTGCCTGCCATGCCCCCGAGGTACATTTTGAGATGCTCACCATTGGACTCTACAGCATGGTTTGCAACGACGCGGAAGGCTCTCTCCTGTGCTTCATTCAGACTGAATTCCTTGGCAGTGGTGTCAATGAGTGCCTGAGCCTCCTGGTCCTGTGCCTTGAATGCTTTGCTCATATAGTATGACCTGTCAACAACCTTGACCTCGTGGCCAGTGTACTCGCATTGACAAGTTTTTTAAGTGCAGCCTGGGCATCTCTGGCATCCAGTATCTCTTGGCGCTTGGCAGCGAGTACGTTCTTCCGGTCTGCAGAGCTCATATCTTACGATTGATGAGGAACGAAGAAATCGTTTCTTATGGGGTGACCTTCCTGCCAACTTGCATGTCGGAAAGTCGACCCCGTGGGAAAAAATTACTTACCCATCATTAGCTTTCTGATAGGCGCCACATACAAAATTTTGTAATGTTCGCAGGGTTAGGGTTGGATTCCAATAGCACAGCTTAGGGTTAGCCTTAGAGCAGTTCTAATCACAATTCTTACCACATGTAAAGCCTCTCCCCTGGGTGCTTGTGTAACCCTAGGTTGCACAGCACATCTGCCGCTCACTGCACACTATGCCTATAGGCTATGCACTGTATCAAAACAGACCCTTAACACATGATATAGTGTAGTTCAAGTACTATACCCCTAGTTTCCTTTTAGAGCAGTGATCTGGTAGTAGTATTTGGATGGCACATGCCACTAAGAGAGGCTAGTCAGCTATCAGTTGAGGTATTATGTACTAAAATAGAGGGTCATATCTGTTTTTGCATGTCATCTACCATTGGCAGTCACTGGAGCAATTGATGCCTCAACTGATGCATGCATCCTGGCTTGGAAAAAAGGTAGAAATGAAGTATGCCTTGGATTTAGAGTGCAATATGAGAAAAATGGAAGCCATAATAGCACCATGGTGTACAGCTTGTGAAGGGCTTTTATATATAGTATAATATGTGCTACATGGATGAGATCTGGTGAAGTAGTAAAGGAAATATCATCATTGAAAGGCTGAAAATAAGGTATTTCCCTGATTGATAGGCTAATTTGAATCATGTCAAGACTGTAATAACGCCATCCTATAGAGCTGGTAAAGGGCTTTCTGATGATATAAAATATGTGCTATATGGATGAGAACTGGTGAAACAGCTAGGGAAATACTGCCAAAAAGTGCCTGCTTTTCAAAAATTCTTTCTAAGTACCACGGGCGCTAGTAGATCGCGCTGGGCCAGCGCGATCTACTAGCGCCCATCGGACTTCACCAAATCACGCTTTGGGCGCTTATTTGACGCACCAGATCAGGCTTTACAGAGCCTTCTTTCATTAACATTGTTTGGCCATTTCTGCACCATATGATGCATATGAGGCTTGGAAAACCATTCCACTGTATAGAGCTTGGCTAGCAGAGTCTAATGATATATATATCAACATTCATTGGTAATCAGGGTACCTCCTAAAACACGATTTTGTGTACTTTTGTAAAACTCTGTTGCAACTTGTTGATTATCTTCTGTGAATGCCAAGCATTGACTAAATTGATGACTTTATATTGGAATATTATCTTACCCATTAGAATAGACACATTAGAAAAGAGACAATGTGAATAGCATCACAGTTGGCAGAATTGTGGGCTCAACACCTGTTTTAGTCTTCTGGTTTGCAGGAGGTCTTGAATTTTGAACACTACAGAGATCAGATAAAAACTTGTGAGTGTCACCATCAGGTAGAGCCCTTAAATAGGTTTCTGATGGTACATAACACATGTATATTTGACAAAGGGATAGCAGAGGAATCCACCCATCTGCACTTTTGTAGCCCATTTATCAATGATACTAGTCAAATTGGAGCGGAGATTGAATCCTGCCACCCGGCATACACCTGGGTCGGATTTTCGACGCAGGCATATGCCGTGCGGCACGGTCACGTGACTCTACTGTGACCTGTGTACCTCCGAGCATTATGTCTGGCAACCTCACGTAATGTTCACCAAATCAAACAAATGTGGTATCACCAGAAAGCTATGGATCAGGAGAATATAATGGGGTTGTTTGTGTATTGTTGTGAGCACATCTGAGGGAACTACGGGCCAAATAGACCCCTATAAGTGACAATTGGTCACAATATGTCACTAATGGGGGATTGAAGCGGGTCTAGATCAATGAATTCCTAAGCAATATATGAAGTGTTATATACTGTCAGATTCAGAAAATTGAGCTCCACACAATGGTGCTATTGGTGTGTTAACAGGTTGCCATTTGGAGGCATCAATTGGAGTACAAAGCGATAAATAGATTTCTAGGTTCTGATAATGCAGATTGAATGCACACTATATAGTGTTCATGCTCATTCTGTCATATGCCTAGTCTTACCATCACATCCTAACACACTTTCATTCCATAGCACAGAAGATAGTGGGACCAATGCATCAAATGAACTGGCTGGCAGATCAACACCTGTGTATTGCATATAATGCATAGTCATACCACCATTAGATCCACATTGAAAGTAGCTTTCTGAAGATAGACATTGATCCCATGTTATGGTACAAAATGGGCCAACAATACACATTATATTGCAGTTGGGCTCCCTTCACAACTCTCTCAATAATCTGGTGCCTACTGGTCCATATTTCACAAAATGTATATCACCAGAAAGCTATAGAAGAGAATCCAAATGTGCACACAAAATTCTATCAATGCCACAATTAGCAATAAGTGCTCAATGGCACAGACCTGATGGCATCATTGCCTCACCCACAAGTATTATATACCACCAGATTCAGTTTTTCAATCTCTATTCAATGATGTTGCCGATATATTTGTTAATTGATCCTACAAGGCAGAACAGCCATCATTATTGCAGTAGTATGGCTTGGAAGCCTTCAGAAAGCCACACCTTCCTCCACCTCATCAATCGGATCTGCCAGTCATGGCCCTCTCCACCCAAGTTCCTTGCTGTTGAACTTTGATGGCAGTTCAGAAGTGTTCTTTTCTTTCATGGGGTTTAGCCAGCCTGAAGCCTGGATGATTTGTTCTGCCTGCAGCATCTGTGTGCGTCTGCTTATTTCTGCATTGCTCAGCTCTGTCCAGTCATTGGTCCGCAGCACCATCTCCTCAATCTCGCTGATGTTGAGTTCCCCATCATCATTATAATACTGGGTGTCCAGGTCATCCAGGGTGGCATTATCCATGTTGAATGGTGAAGGACCAGTCTTTCCTCCCTTTTTACGAGCAGCAGAATAGTCATCCCTGGCATCATTGCACTCATATTTGATATGGAAGAATTTCATGACCTCCAGCTGCCGCTCTGAGAATGAATAGCCATTGAACACATCATCCCAGAGCACATCCTGGCTTGGTCTCAGATCCTGTCCATTGCGCCAAGGCTTGAAGAGAGTGAGCATGGTCATGCAATATTGTTCACGGTTGCCTGCATCTCTCCTGGGAGCGAGCCACCAATGAAGTTGGGAACATATGCCTCTGACTCATCCAGCAGCTTCACATGATGGGTGTCATACTGTGGATGATTCTCATGGAACTGCACATATTTTGACCTGGATTTCTTGGGCTTAGGTGCGCTATCTGCTTCAAGCTCCTGGTTCGATGTTTTTGTAAGCAAAAGTTCATCCTCTGATTCTTCTTCCTCTTCATTGACTCCAGCACCCTTCAATTCTGCATCACTGACATCATAGTTGTCCTCAAACTCTGAGTCCACATCTGCATGCTCATCATATGCTCTTCAGATTTTTTGGGGCCCTTTTTACGGTATGTGATCCGCT